ATAGTTTCCCTACGGGATTGTATGCTTGGGACCCCCCCCAGTTTTTTGTCATTTTTATCTTGCAAAACTGGTAAGTCCTCCAAAAGAAAAAAAACAAAAGGCAACACTCTCTTTAATGCACTGACCCTGTTTTTTGGAAATTTCAATTAGTCAAGTGTGAGGAAATTATTACTTTCTTACCGATAAACTAGCCATGCAAATTTGAATCAACCAAGTGCCATGTGTTAAACCACTCACAGTTTCCCATCATAATTTCCCTCAAAACTCAATCCCTGCCCATTTTTTTACATCAACCCTATAGTTATTGAACATGTCATAGTCATCTACCAAAGTGAATTCAAAAGTTAAAATGTAGCTCTCCCCTCTATTATAGGAACGGGGTCCCAAAATTTACAATCACCCTTTCCTTAGGTCTACCAACTTGAAATCCACATTACTTGGGACCACAGTGGATACCATGGTCAAGAACTTTTAGTTTCAATCCATGAAGGACAGTACTTTCTTCAAATAAATTTGCCCAAAGGCCATGAGAATGGAAGTTTTAGATTTGGGTCTGGAACATTTTGGAAAAACATGAGGCATTTTTCATTATTCATTAATTTTAGCAACCTTCCTCTATGATGTAATTGCAGTCTACATGTAGGCCTATGTATCAGAGAATTTAATCTTTCCTGTCATAGGTATACGATAGGTTTGTTAAGGTAAGCCTATGCACATTTTATACCATTTTACTGCTGCTTTGTGATTTAGGATTTGTTTTGATAGCCTTTTTCTGTAAATAATGAATTTTTTGTAAATAATAGATTTTTGGGCGGGGTGTTTGGAGCATGTGGGCGGTGGACACATCAAAAACTTTTAACCTTATGGCTTAACAAGTTTGTTCTGTTTTCTGAAATAGAGACCCAATGAGCCTCCCTTTGTCATTGGAATGCCTCTTTGTGTCTTAAAGATCCTTTGCTGGCACGTGTGATACTACTCAAAAGGGGTGGCTGGACCTTGTGATCTAGACAAAAAAGAGTTCACTTTTTAGACACTGCTGTGGAACCCTGAATAACCATGGGTGTGGCTGGAAAAGCAAGGAAGCTGTGTGTTCTTTTGTTGGGTAAGTTTCTGCTTGTCAACACTGAAAGTTAGGTCGTGGTGTACAACAAAGTCCTTTTTGATCTGTCATGCTGACTGAAGTTTTAATGGGTTGCACTAATAAAGGATGACACACAACAGTGGCATTGCCCCCCAAAACAAACGATGTGGCATGTTGTTATTGTTCTTTGTCATTTCTTTTATTGCATAATGGTAAGAAGTTACCATCTTTTGCTAACTTCCCCGGTAAATGTTCGTCTTGTACAAGAAGGGACAGTAGTGGTATTGTTTGTACTGCTGAGTTTCAATCAGATTTTTTCAATCTGAATAGCCGAGGTGTTTTAACAATATCTCCCAATGTGTTTGTGCGTTATCAAAGTAGCACATAAATGTACATGTGTAAAATGTAACAGAAAACAAAGAACTTCCTGTTTGGCAACACAGACAGGAAGATGACCTTGAGGTTGGGTAATCTTGGCCTCTTTGATGTGTAACTTTTAGGCAGTCACTTTCATTGTGCAAAAATAAGCTCCAACAAAATTTTTTAAACATGGCATTGGCACGTGGTAATTTATTAACTTCTTGATGTAATATTTGGAATGGTTCCTGACTTGTGTGACAGATAAATGCAGTTTTTTTGCCTCATGCAGTCATGCCTTTGTATTCTTTTATCTTGGTTGAAAACAGAAAAATATCTGACTTGAAGGGCAATTAGGGCAGGGCAAGCTAGGGCAGGGCTCTCGAATGACAGGGTCATTTGACAAGCAAGTCTCGGTATGCCTTCTCCCATCACAACCTGAAGTTAAAAACAGCCTTTACTAAATAAATCTTAAGGCACTCAATATTTGTTCAGAATCAACTGATTTCTGTTTGGGGGTAGACTTTTCATCAGTATTTCAACACAAAAATTGAAACATGTCAAACAGAACTTTGTGCAATTTGGAATTTCCTCAGTCTGAATCCTCTCAATCTATGAAAAAAAAGGGCCATGCATCCCTTTTTTTCTTTCTTGCAGTTTCTAACTTCAAGTACCCTTTCAGTACACTGATTTTGAAACATTATGGCCATATTCTTTACACAGTCTGTGAGTGCCTGGTAGTCTTATTATCAGCAGTAGCTGAACGTGTTGAGTTGCAACAGGATGAAACTGGATATGTGCCATGTCCCCGCATTGCCAACAAAGTGTGTAACATCAGCCAGATACAAGCAGCATATTGGTACAAAGAACTGGCTGCTAGACGATTTCTGATTTCAAATTATCTTGGAACCATCTACCTGGGCAACAAGTTACCAAGTGGAAAGTACGAGCTGCATGAAAATTTCTCTCTGGTGATCAATAATGTCACTGATTCAGATGGGGGGGCCTATGTATGGCAACTCAAACCAAAGGCTGGCGCATTGACGGAAGGAGTTGTGAACGTCACCATTGTTGGTGAGTGCTGCAGTATTTTACTTTCTCTTATGCTAAATTGAAAGACATCAATGACAATATCAGAGAATGGAGTCTGAGGATTTGGGAGGATTGGGTTTGAGGTAAGAGATGAGAAGCAGACAGAAGACATGTATGTTAACATTTCTTAAGGACAACAAAGGCCAGAGGCCAAGAGAATTGTCTAAAATTTTTGTCTGGCAAAAAAAACCCCACCTGACCAGAACAAACTTTAACCCTAACAGTCCCCACCCTCCTTTGTTGGAAAAAGGCAGACTGTTAGGGTTAACCACTGTGGGATGACATCATGCAACCCTAGATGAGCTGCATCTTTAGGTTAGAACAATAAAAATGTTCAATGTCAGCCGTACAGTGTGTATCAAACACTTGACTTTAAAGCTAATGTAGCATGCAATTAAAACTAGGTTGGACTTTCTAGGGCGGCACACAGTTTGTTAGGGGAGCACCAACAGTCAACAAAC